AATTTGACATTTACAAATTACACGATGCGAGGAGGTGAAATTTCACCACCACAGTTGCCTTTGGGAACTGAAATTATTCAGGGTACACGAAATCCGTGATCTGCTTGATACTGTAAATGGAAATCAAGAAAGCAAGAATTGGTTGGAGGATTTCATCATGAACTGATATCAGTTAGAGAACCATTGGAAAACCTGCAGGGAGTACTGGATAGCTGTCTCGTACTAGTTTAGGAATCTTCACCAGTATGCACTCATCGCCAGGGTTGGAATCAAGTACCCTCTGGTTACAATGCGAGCTTGGGTTTGAACCCCGATGGGTGCTTACTGATGAAGAGTTCCAAAATGGGACGAAACGGCTGTTCAGTACCTCCAGCTGGCTTTCCAATGGTTCTGTAACCAATGTCAGCTCATGGCGAAACCCTCCAACCAATCAAACACAATCCCTGCAAAAAACCAACCCTTGAAAAGCAAGAATTATTGAATGGGATGGTATACCGTAATGAAATAATTGTTCGGAAAATCCTTCCCTGACGATCAGTTTACAATAGTGGCACTTGATTAGATATTTCAACTAACTTTGTAATTATTATCCCCTTTTCTCCACGAGTATATGTCATTGTTCCGACGTCTAAGTGTCACCTGTTTGCTTACTCCCTATTTTTTGTCTTTGTCACTGATTAATCTCTAACTTTAATGAATCTATTTGTGGTTGTGTGATAATCATAGTGTGCTGCTTCACAACTGCGATTTCGTATCAGTAAAGTGGTGGTTGTTTTAACCTTTGACTGTCAACAGGAAGTGTTTAGCTTGTTATTCTTTCTGACAGAGTCTTAATTCCACCCTGTTGGAAATATTCTACTTGACTGTCAGGTACTTCTTACAGCTGATTTTTGTTAACCAGTTCAGTTGTACAGCACCTGTTTTGTATCTGAAAGAGATGATATAATCTGGATAGCTGCCTAACGGTATTGTTGAGGTGATTTTCCTGTTTTTTGACATGTTCTTAATATTGAACAGTACCAAAGATTTTATCGCATATAACTGTCTTTTTGTTACCTATGGAGCATTTTGTCATCGCGCTTACCTTAGGGGAATTCAGGCTACATACACATTGGAATACGAAAATAGGTTTCCAGCGTGTAGACCACTGTACATCGGTTTCGGTCGTTACATTTACTCATGATTGGTTGAGATGAGAAGTTGTTAGCCTAGCTGAAGTGATCTAAACGCCAGTGAGCCAACTGACTCTTTTGGGGATGATCTTATCAGCAGTGCACTCATCTTTTGGAGCCGAATCAAATCCAAATACCCGAATTCTGACTAGCCACTTGGACGAAGATGTCAGACATTGTGTCAGATTTGAGGTTTGCAATTTTCAAAAATCGAGGGAAATTTTCACTGCAATTTACTTTGGACAATGAATTATCCTTAACAGAATAAATGGTGTACCTGATACAACACACAAATGCCATTCAGGGAGGTAAACATAATTCTGTGATGTTATAAGCTACTGATTGGCTGGCATAAGTAGTTGAAAAACATTTACGACAAAAACGGTAGCACTCGCATCAAGTATATCATTTCAGTCTGGCTAACAATTACTACTGTTTGATGTGAATGCTTACCAACTATCTATATATGCCTCCCGACCAATCAAAAGTATTTAATATCATGCAGTTTTCTACATAATCACTTCAATTATCTTTAGCTGAAGGCAAATTAAAAGTTACATTGACGTAACTTCTTGATTAGGTTCTACAGTTTACGTCTAAAATAATTAGAGAATTGTCGTTATTATTTAACATTAAAGTTTCAAATGACACTGAATCAACACTGTTGGCAGATTCCACTTCGAAAGCATCTATGAATGATACTATGACTGAAAACGTAGGCCACGGTGGCAAGAGTTGCTGGGTGTTATCCTGTTGTACACAGAGCCCCGGTTTATTTAAGCGGAATGCTATGGCCTTTGGTGTTTAAAATGTTCGGTAGCTGGAGGGACTTAGCAATTTATTTGGTACCCGATAGATGATGGCGAAAGATTGTTGAATGCTAGCTTTCTGACCTGTTTAGGTGAGGTGACCCATTACAGAACTGCTGATTATTTTAACTACACGACTATTTAGCCACACTGGTGGTTGTTACTGAGTACGTAAACTTCAGTTCCTAGAGAAAGGGCCGATACAACAGGCTGTAGAGGAGCAGTTGAATTGAAAGATAGAAAAAAAAGAGATGATTAGCCTAAACACATCATGTGAGTTGCAGCTTACAGTCATCAAACTCTCTTTGAATTGATTTTTTCAACCTTTTCGTTATTATTTCACTTGGTATATTCCCCTTTGGATTTTAGTCTTACATACTGTGACTTATTCTTAGGAGACACAGAAGAATTCTCATCAGCTTTCTTGGTCAAATGTTTAATGGTGAACATTTACTGGGTAGCCACTTTCAATTAACGTGTCGCATACAATCTCAAGTTCATCTTTAATTTCGTCTTCTGAATAAGTAGCTCTCATCCTGTAGCTGAGGGTCTCTACCGGATTTCTTTTATACTGGGGAAGAACAAAGCTGTGAAAATGTGTGTATACTGACCGGTGCAACTACTTTTCTTATGCGCATTTCCTTTTATACTACCGTTCGGTGTTCTGATGTGTAGGAAATCTAAAAAGACGATTCTTCTTTGGGATTCTTGTTTACTCGTGAGTTATTATTACGAGTTTGATCACAGACTGATATCGGTTAGAGAACCATTGGAAACCAGCTGGGAGTACTGGACAGCTGTTTCATCAGCCTAGTTTGGGAATTATCGGCAGTACGTAGCCTTTGGGGTTCCAGCCCATGACCTCCCGGTTACAAGGTAAGCTCGTATACCATTCAGCCACTGAGAACCGATTCAGTGACCCATGAATTCTAACTTGTACCAATTCGTGATTTAGCACGACCACCAACCATTGCTAAGGGTCCCAGTGGCCGAATAGTATGCAAGGTTGCCTTGTAACCGGAAGGTCATGGGTTTGAACCCCAAAGGCTACGTACTGCCAATAATTCCCAAACTAGGCCGATGAAACAGCTGTCCAGTACTCTCAGCTGGTTTCCAATGGTTCTCTAACCGATATCAATCCGTGGTCAAACTCGTAAAAACAAATTTAATCCTTACAAAGCAACTCTTGAAAATTATTATTACGTCAAATAAATGTAGAATGTGATGATGACTTTATCGAAAAGAATATTCTTTAACCATTATTCACGATTAAATAGCCTGTTTACTTCGTCTTCCATGCCCGTAATCATAACCGGTCGTGTAAATGAGATGAGTTGAATTTTACTGGAATTAGAAGTTTGTAGTGCCCCTATTTTAAGCCTACCTAATTCATGTACGCATGTTGTACGCTTACAGAAACTAATTTTACATGTGCTTAGGGAATATTTGCCATTGTAATATTGAACGTTGCTTTTTGTTTGTTGCATGCAGGCATATTTTACACGGTTATGCACATTTTGAGTTCGACTTGCGATTTTGGAAATTTGATTTCGTTAACAATGAACGAAGGATAAAGGCACAAGTCAGCTGATCTCTCTGCAGATATCAGGTGTTATCGTGTTGTTGTGTTTTCGGGCTATTTTGCATTGTTTTTAGTGGGACTTTTACGACAGAAATGCATTTTTAATGGCGTATTTTAACGAAAAAATGTGGCAAATTGCTGTCTTTTCATTTAATTGACATTCTGAGGTGCATACAGAATGTCATATTTCGTTGTAAATTTCCAATGATGGTAAGAAATAATGAATAATTTACATAAATGGAACACATTTCCGTGAATGATAAGGAATTGTGTGAAATCCACTCGTTCATATCTGATAATCGGATTATTGATGTGAATCCGACAGCTCCTCACATCATAATGAGTATGCGTAGCTTTATTGAACTCTTTAAAGGTATCCTCGAATGCGTCCAAGGTGTTAAAACTCTTGCACTTCAAAATCCATCTCGTCAGACATCACTAACAATACCCTGTTTCAGCAGATAATGCCTATTCCATATTGCCTCTGCTTATATGCACACTTGAATCTACCAATCACAGTGACCTTCAAGTGCTCAGCCTCTCCGTAAGCCATTTAAGTCTCTATCCTTCGTCTAAAATAACACATCTTTTCACGTTTTCACTTTTGCTTCCTAATACAACGTTCTTCATTTTTGACCGTGTACAGCGTTAGCATATAGTAGAACCTGAAAACATGAATGTACTATGGTAACATGATCAGAATCATAATAAGCAAACTATAAGTTCTTCGAATCGAGATTATTGATCCAGTGTTACTTAAAGTAGTATCAATTTCCCAGTGGCTTAATGGTCTACTAGCTAGCTCGCCTTGTTACCAGAAGGTCCTGCGTTCAAACCCTGGCGGGTGCATACTGATGAACAGTCGCAAACCAGACTGACGAAACAGCTGTTCAGTACTTCCAGCTGGTTTTCCAATGGTTCTCCAATTGATTTCAGTTCATGAAGAAATCCTCCGACCAATCAATCAAACAAGATCCCTACAAAACCAATACGTGAAGATAATTCTTTAACTACTATGGTCACTAATGAAGATGAATTTATAGAAAATGAATACTCTCTGTTCCCTAATATCAGTTTATCCAAAAAATAACTCGTTCTAATGGACATCATTAATCAGTAACCATATCCATAGATGTACTCTTGTTTCAAATTAGTTAAGTTTCTGCCACGAAAAGAATCATAAACGCCTAACATAAAATCAAGTGACAAGAAAAAGAAGTAACTGCATGCTTCATTACACTGTCATTAACACTAGAATCAATAAGAACACGAACAGATGGTGTGTACTTTTCATATTAGTAGTAGTAGTAGTACAGATTTTTATTATCATTATCATTATTTTTAAATATTATAATTAATAATATTAATAAATAAGATCTTTGGTTTAATGAATACAATAACAAGCATTTCTGTACAGAAGATTGTTTAGAAAAAAATCTGAGAAATAATTATTTTGAATGTTTCTTGACTTGTATCAATGAAAGAAAGATTGGATAAGGTGAGGAAAGCGAGGAATTCAGAGCAAAATACTTAAATACATAAATGCAAGAGAAGAGCCATAATCAAATACACGAGATAGTATTATTTAACTATTATCTGATAAAATTTTGAATAAGGTGACACTAATTCCATAATACTAGCCGTCTGTTGTACTGTAGAAACACATAGTGTAAGTAGGTATATATGTATAGTGTACAACTGTGCTTGTATATTTGCTTCTTAAGGCAGAACCAAGAAGATTATTTAGAAAAAAGGGTTTTTCATTGTTGTATATTTCCACTTAATAAATCAATAAATATATATTTGATTGGAATGTGAGTAGTTGTCGACAGCTTATTACTAGTATTCATCGGAGAATAGAACTGTGAAACAAGATACTTAATGTAGTATGAAGTCAAGTCGAGAATATCTGAGTATATTTTGACTTCTAAATTATAAGTTTCTTCAAATTAAATATATTTATGTATATATATATTATTTACATATCAAGGTGAACAGACAGTTTATTTATATCCATGTGGAGAAAATCGGCAGTAACATACTCAGGTTCCTATTCTTTTTTGAATGATCATTCTAAAGCGGATGAAAGAAGCAAAATTGAGAGTTTTGATAATTCTCTGAGCTTTGTGGTTCTTCTTCTTCTTCTGTTTCTCGGTTGCATCTAAATTTGTTTTGTTGACCATGTTTTACATATACGATAAGATTTGTTATTTGTAAATTTGCATCGGTTATTGTGATTATTATTATTAATATTACGTTTTTGGGAGAATTGACATAACGAGAATTTATCTCTACACATTAATTCGTTTGAATTTGGACTAATCGGTACATAACATGTATTTGGATCACGATGGTAGACTGGATTCACGTAGAGGACTCTTTGTAACTGGAAAACAAAAGTAGAAATAGTAAATGAAATTTTATATGAGTATATGGGGTGGGGGTCAATTACGATAGGCTTCTGTTTCATAAGAGTTTCAATGGCGAATGAAATCTAACGGGCCTATTTTACCCCCATTCTATGGTAGACCAAAACTACACAAACCAAACATCCCCTTACGACCATTCGTTTCGCTTCCAGGAACACCAAACGTATAATCTATCTAAAGATCTTTTCAGGAAATTAAATTACCTAACAGAATCATGCGACCATTCTATCAATCAACTCGTCAATCCAATTTTTAGAGACAATCAAAAACAATAAAGTAGAAGACAATGAAATAATGGTGTCCTTTGATGTCACAGCATTATATACTTCAATTAGTCCAAAAGTAGCAATAGAAACTATGCAACAATTACTCTATAGTGATGAAAACATAAAAACACAATTATCAACTTGGATAGAACTCATAAAATTATGCCTTACAACATACTTCCAGTTCAATACTCAAATATATGGGATCGCTCATATCACGATTAATAGCTGAAGCCGTCATGCAGAGATTAGAATTAATAGCTCTACCTATAATTAAACCAAAAATCTGGGCACTTTACGTTGATGATAAATTTGTAATAATTAAGAGAAATGATTTAGAATGTACCCATAAATTAATAAACAACATATTTGAAGACATCAAGTTCACAAGAGATGAAGAATTAGATAACAAAATCCCATTTTTAGATGTCTTATTCAGGAGAATCAGCACAGGAGATTTAGAGACACAAGTATGTAGAAAATCAACGCACACACACAGATCAAATACTCAACTATAATAGCAATAATCCAGTTACTCACAAACAAAACTGTGTGCAGATATTGTTTAAAAGAGTTCAAACACATTGTAGCACAACAGAGTTGAAAAGAATGGAAGAAAAATACCTACAAACCGTCTTCAAAAAGAATGGTTATCCACAAAATTTCATCAAAAAGTGTTTAAATTTGAACAATAACACCAATAAGAAACCACCATCAAAGACCAAAAGAAAATTCATCCTACCATACATGACGAATATCTCTGAAATAACAGCTAGACTACTGAAACCGTTTGATATAGATACAGCACACAAGCCAGTCAAATCGCTTAATTCCATATTATTCAGACCGAAAGATCCAACAGAAAAACAAGATAAAATTAATACCATTTATAAAATAAATTGTATGAACTGTAACAAGCATTACATCGGCCAAAGTGCGCGCCCCTTCGAATTAGAATCCAAGAACACAAATCAGCTGTGAAAAGACACGATATATATTCTTTAGTATCAATGTATATAGCCAGTTATGATCATCAATTTGATTGGGATAATGTCAAAATCTTAGACAGAGGAAACAACAAAAGTGCAGTCAGGGAATTCCTGAGAGCCTGGTACTCAAACGAAAATGCAATTAACAAACACGTTAATATAGGCGAAATCTACCAACTGATAAAAAGTAAATCAGGTGACGAGAAAGTTTAAAATCCAAGTCAATAGAAAATGGTCAATACTTATGTAAAGATGGTTACCGGGAGACGCAATTATATCACTCATGAAGAAATTTATCACGTTTTGATTTGACACTAGTAACTAGTGTGATGCATCTAGTCCTCTCTTTGGTGCAGACTGAATTTTATCAGTCAGGTTGCAATGTGGCCACCATTCTAGGTAGCTCCCCATTACGGTGTACATTGTTTGTGATGATATTGGATGGTTGGAGGCAATCGGCAGGAAGCCTTGGACCTAGGTTTCGTGCTAGTTGGCACTCGTCAGCAAGGCGTATCTGCAACCTTGAAGGAACTCATGTCCCTTCTGAGATTCGAACCCGCGTCACCCAGTGACCTCAGCAGTCACAGACGTTACCACTGAGCTATCACTTTATGCTAAATATTACACTGAAGATGTTGTCCAGAAGGACGACGAAAGCTCCGCAACTAAACCAACCAGCTCAGAGAACACTATTAATTACAAAAGTTGTGGTATTGTCAAATGAATGGAAAAACAGAACGATGCTGCTTTTACTGACTTTTCGTTATTTACTGCTGCTTATAAATAGCCTTATCAAACTAAAAATTTACTGAGAATTTATACAGAATTTTCGGCATAGTTGATTGTCTAATAGTTTCTCCTCCCCGTAGGATCTTGAAGTAAAAAAGCAGTCGATATAAGGATAAAACTTCGGCACTGTGGTAGATTATAACCCCATTATGTATAAAATTTTATATTGATAAAGTTTCACTGTGTTATACAGTAATATTCACTGATGACCACGTTTCGAACACAATTTATTGCTGCTCATAATCATATCAAGGCATCGCTCACACAACTTTATTGCTTCAATTTATATACACAAGTTAAAAACTGACTAGACGTATGAATGAAATCAATATAAGATAAAGTACATTCAGAAATAATATTAGTGTTATCAATCAAATACAGTCAGACGGGAAATGACATGTTTTATAGTAAAAAAGTAAGTAACTTGTTAGAATGTTACAACGCGAATTGAATACATTTTAACATTATTTATTATCCTCTGATTTGACAGGTAATAATATCTTCCATATCTCTGGTATTTGCGTTGAGTCACCTCTATTGCATGTGTTGCGTGTAGACTCGATGAATCAGGATTCCGTAATCAATCTTTCTCTCCACCTACTCCTTAGAATTTTAACCCTCCCCCACCCTATTGTGTGGTTGTGTGTTAATGCATGCAGTGCAATTGCTGCATTTTTTTTGTAAATTATTTGTCTTCTTGGGATCAACCATTCTAACCTTAGCTAAATTCTTGTGTTCTGATAGTCTCACCGCCCCTGATCTACCAGTTTGACCCATGTAGTTGACCTCACTCACAGTCATTGTAAGGTATTTTGTAACTTATATTATTTTGTTTAATTGGGTCAACCGACAGGGTCCTTTAGCCTACAGAGCTTGTCTCTAAGTGAGTTTGTAGCAATCCATAGTACTTCATGCGACCCAATGCTGTTCGATCTGAAGAATAAATAGTCAGTTACTGTGCTTTCTATCGTCGTCAAGGTATTCGTAGCAGTAGGTTGAAAACCAACTAAAAATGTTCATGAATACAGCTGGCGATCCAATGACATAACTGAACAGTGAGAAAAAACAAACGATCAACAGTCTTACAGGGGGCCAATCGTGACCCCAAATAGTTCAGTGATAATGTTTTTGGCTGCAGAACTGGGTGACGCGGTTTCGGATCTCAGAAGGGACATGAATTCCATCAAGATTACAAATCCAGTTAAATTAACATATATAAATAAATCATAGAATTACTGAATTCCAATGTACATCATGCTCTCACTGATTATACATTTTTCTGTGTAGATTAAGTGATAATCAAAACTCACGCCTATTCTGCCACCTTTCTGTCCTAATTCTAATTCACCTTTACTGACTGACTATCTACACGATAAATATTAACTGACTTATACTTGTAGAACCTGAAGATTAATTTATTAAAATCAAAATTTTCAAGTGTTAGTTCACAGGGATTTGATTGTTTACAGGTTTTATAACAAATTGACATCATTTAGAGAACCAATGGAAGACTACAGAGTACTAGACAGCTGTTTCGGCCTTCTTTGGGACTCTTCAGCAGTACGCAACCACCGGGATTTGAAATTAAGTAGCGCCCACTAATTCATTTGAGAGAACAGTTGCTCGCTGACAACACTGACTGGCGGTTGCATCACATATGTATACCACAAACTGGCAGGAGTTAGAAATCACGAGCTACAGTCTTGTAACCTGAAAGTCCTGGGTTCGAAACCAAGTGAATAGTCCGAAAACGGGACCAAACAGCTTCCCAGTAATTCTTGTTTTTTCCATTGGTTCATTAATAGATATCAGGTTGTAGTCAAACCTGTAACCGACGTTGTTTGCCCTAATTAATTTTTGTTATGTTTACACACACAAATATGGGGATATTTGAATTTTTTGGTATAATTGAATTTGTTCCACTTGTCACATATTTCATACTTGTTTCTGCAAAAATCACAACCATTACATCCGGTCAACTGAAAATGTCATTTTCTCGGTCAAGTAAAAACATAAGGCTGTATCTGTTGTTGTTTTTTTGCGGTCAATTCATCTACTACTTAATACTTTTGTTATTATTGTAATAATTTTTCACTTCATCTTTTGTATCTTCCACGTTTCATTGTCTTGCTTCCCACGGTATTACATTATAAAGGGGAAAAGACAGTTGGAGGGCTATATTTTATGTTATTTATGTAAACTGTTTTTACCTATGACTTTTTTTTTCAAACACCTATCAATTTCTTCTCGTAGTTTAAGTTCCTGAAATCCCCTCCCCTTGCCACACACATGCACACACGCACATATAAATTCTGTCTACTGAATAACGATGTGACTACTTGTTTCCATGTGGAACTGTTGTTGAACAGATTTGGGAACTTGAACAATACGTCTGTCTTTTCACCCCTGGCCTTAGCCCTTCTTGCGAACACGTCAGTTTAAGGTACATATAAATACTTATGCGTATACATATTTGTTTAATTGTAGTTATAAACAGTCGCATATATATGACTAAGTGTTAATTGTATGTTGTTGTGTTGACACCAACGAAGGTGACAACAATGAAGAAAACAATTAAGTATAATTGAAAAATTCTGTTCAGCAAAATACAATCAACAAACAGTACAGGTTGGTGTACCTGGGAAAGCAAATTCATGTTTCTGTCAGCTGGTTCACTTCTCCTTTTACATACTATCACTCTCACCTCCACCAACACCACCACCACTAGAGCTTACACAGGGTGTTGATGTAATAAATCAAGAAACCTTGATAAATTACTTTGTAAAAAAACAAGAAAGAGACAGTCGAGTTTACTGCATTTTCAAAGCAACGATCACTGAACAGTTTTCAAAAGTTCGTTTGCAGAGGTTGTTTCGTCTTTGGTCGGGACTCATCATCAGTTCGCACCTCTGACACCACCAGAGATTGGTGACCTGGTGTAGTCAGGGCGTGTGTATAAAAGGTGCAGGGAGTGGTCAGCCCCTCCTACTCCAAGTCTGAGAATGTAAACTAGCTGTTAAAAGACACTACCTGGATTCATTCATCTCAGTACAGTACATATCGAAAAGTGTGGACATTAATTTGACTGGGAAAGTATAAGAGACACTAAAAATCCTATGGGAAACTTAGAGTCCTGGTACTCAGACGAATCTGGGATCAATAGACAGATAATTATTTATCAAATTTATAAAATATTTAAAGAGATATCACACGAAAAAAAACTCAAATTCCAAGTCAATAAGACGATAAATTCTAATAGAAATTAACAACTAATCACAGCGAAAGTTTTTTGAAGATACAATTACACCATTCATGGATAGTCAAAATAATAAGTTCACTTAATGCATACAAACGTTTGTGTCGAAACAAATTTGCTTATAAAGTCAATGAAAGGTTCTCAATAAAATCATTTAGCTCAGAAAAATCAACCTCATTAAAAAAATAATAAACTGAGTTGAAATATGTGAGGAGCGACTTCGATTCCATTCTAGTGACTGAATATGCTAACTGTTTTCCCCCTAACCTGTAGGTACTGTGCAGACATTGTTTAAAAGAGTTCAAACACATTGTAGCACTCCAGAGTTGAAATGAATGAAGGAAAAGTACCTACAAACGGTCTTCAAAAAGAATGGTTATCCACAAAATTTCATCGAAAAGTGTTTAAAATCGAATCAAAACACCAACAAGAAACCATCATCAAAGACTACAAGAAAATTCATCCTACCATACATGAAAAATATCTCTGAAATAACAGCTAGAATACTGAAACCGTTTGATATAGATATAGCACACAAGGCAGTCAAATCGCTTAATTTGATATTATGCAAACCAAAAGATCCAACAGAAAAAGGGGATAAAATTATTACCATTTACAGAATAAATTGTATGAACTGCAACAAACATTACATCGGACAAAGTGGGCGTCTCCTTCGAATCAAAATCCAAGAACATAAATCAGCCGTGAATAGACAAGCCTGGTACTCAAACGAATATGCAATTAACAAACACGTTAATATAGACGAAAACTACAAACTAATAAAAAGTAAATCAGGTGACCAGAAAGTTTAAAATCCGAGTCAATGGAAAAATGGTCATTACATATGTAAAGATGTTTATCGGGAGACGCAATTATATCACTCATGAAGAAATTTAAATCATTTCACTTTATGCTAAATTTTGCGCTGAAGGGGGATTTTGTCCAGAAGGATGACGAAAGCTCCGCAACTAAACCAACCAGCTTAGAGAACACTATTAATTGCAAACTTCCTGGTGTTTCTCGGTGGTTTTCTACCTGATATCAATGTGTCAGCTGACATAAAATACGTCAGATTGCTGCAAACCAACACTTAGAAATAAGTAGATCTCTTTGCAGATATTCCAATGTCAAACAACTCAACACGGTTGAATACATTCAAGTATAAGCGATTCCTCTGATAAATAGATCATTTTGCTAAAACATGGACGTGACACAACGTTGATCACATAAATGACCACCGAATGCTAAAGGTTACCTAAGGTGAAACAAAGATATTGAAAATGTGACGTATTTAAACTTCTGACAGAGTTGAAAAAGGTTAAAACCTTCGGTTGTACAAGAAAGAGTAAAATGGGGTCATTGTGATGAATCTAACAGACGTAATGATGGATAGCCGTTTTACTTGCTTAACACTTATGTGGTATCTAAGGGAAAATACTTTAAACCATCAACAGTGTTTATCTTTCTCTTGTCACATATTAGGCTGTTTTTCTAAAATAGACTAAATGTAAATATTATGAAGGTTTAAAATGAGAGTGAATGCTTAAGCAATAGGTGGTTTAAAGCACGCGCGCTTCGACAAAAATGTTTTATGCACATTTCAGACGAGATATGAACACGCACCCTGCATTTGTAAAATACAGCATACGTATAAATGTGCATATATATGTAGTAATACGGTTGTTCTAACCGATTCAACTATCGAAATCACTATTTGGGTGAGGCGATTTTCAGAGTGAAGCTAATATAGAAGATGGTTAGTGTTAGTCTAATGAGATTCAGGACTGACCTTTCAGGTAATTGACCTTTTGTCTGACCTAGATGGTCCTTTATAAATTTAGTGGATATAAACCTTAGGGTACTATGAATCAGTGAATGGGTCAGGGCGGTTGTTAAATATAGTCACTGGTACTTTTATTCAAAGCTTAACAGTTTGTTAACGTTTTTGTCGTATGAAAGTGACTATATCATAACTTCTTTCCGCATCCTTGGTTCACTAGTAGAAGGTTCGTCAAACATGCGATTATTCTAGGCTACCGTTCCCACAGAAGCATCTCCAAAGCTCATCTAGTTCAACAGCACATGGTAGGCTGAGGAGAAACGGGAAGATTAGCTTGAGGATGGAGACCTCACTCCGTAAAGGTACTGAAACCTGGGAGTTTCTAACTATGCCTTGATGACACGCGAAAAACCTACTCTACGACTTTCTACTAATTATATCTCCTGAACATCCTATGACAGTTCCTCTTAGAAGCTCACGATGAACCCACAATACGTGTATAGCCGAGGTTAATTTTGCTTTATGTAGCAATATATAATAAGGAAGACTTAGCTTCACTGTATCCTCAGTTAACAAAACACAATTATGTTGTAAACTTACACGACATGTACCACAGTGTAAAGCGTATCGTTTGCGTAGATACCGTTTCTGCTCCTTTGTTACTTGACTCCATGGTGACTTCCAGGAACAGGAATCAACATGGGGAACATCTGATACATAGATACCTTCAAGAAAGTAAAAACAAAAAAGGATTCCTCTTCAATTCCAGAATTCAAAGTGAAATTAAATTAATTAATCGGTCGGTCTGTCGGTTTTCGACATAGAACTTTGCACTTATGTGCGGCAGTTCAAGTCCACACACTCCATGTAGCACACAAAGCAAGAGAAGAAAGTAGGAGAAATGCAAAACAGACACAGTAAACAGAGGTGTGAGACAAAGATATAGTAATAACGAAGAACAAAACAGTTTCGTTGAAAATCATAAGTCACAAGGAGTGGATGCATCTGCGCCACTGAGAACGATTTTGAGCCATGTCACCAATTGTTTCCAACCATTGGTTTTTACCATCCCGAGGACCGCAACCAGTCAGGAAGTCTACACCTTCCTACGTGGCTTAGACTAACTGTTGTGGATTTCATTGACTGGTGCCATGTTTTCGTTTGACCGCTGCTAGCTCTTTTCCAGCCTGGCCCTATATCAGCTAACATTGCCCTTCGAGGAAGGCAATGACTAGGCATACGTAACACATGTCCTAACCATCTCAGTCGATGTTATTTCACAGTTTCGTCGACTGATTCCCCCACCTTACCTAGCACTCGACCGATGCCTAACCTCAATATTGCTCACTTTATAATACCACTTCACGCGGGAGATAGAACGCAGGCACCTATGACCGAAGACAGCTAATCTTTTCATGTCTTCTGCTCTCAATGGCCAGGTCTCACAGCCACAAAGGAGGATGGAGCGGACTGTTGAGCGGTACACACGCCCTTTGGTCGATAGTCGGATATCAAGTCTACGCCAGAGACGGCATAAACTGGCATATGCGAACCTAGCCCTCTTTATTCGTGCTGAGACTTCATCGGAGATCAACCCGTTGGGGCTGATGGTACTTCCCAAGTAAGTGAAGCGGACAACGTGCTCTACCACTTCACTTCCTATTTATAATCTAGGGGTCTGTGAAGTCCAATCCTGCAGCATCATCTTACATTTTACAGGAAATTAATTAATACCTTATTTCTGATGACAGTGTGTATAGAATTTATGCTGAGTTGATAGTGCTTTGTGTTTTCATACTCTGTATTAGTATGATGACTAAATCTAGTAATGCGTTGAGTCAGACATCTCATTGAGGAAGTGACTAAACTCATTCGTGCGCGACTATAATGTCAGGATATGTTTGTGAATGTTTTCTAATTTCAATAGATACAGCCGCAAAGCTTCAAGTCACTGGTCTAAACATATGAGTTTCGACCAGTGCTACTGTATTTCTAACTTCATAAACACATCACTGTTGATGTATATTTAGAATTTTGCCCGGCAAAACCAGTATAGCTTGCTGGTAGTTTCAGCAGAAGTAAATGTGCTGGAGTTTTATGAGCACAAAACATAAAATGAAAGAAAAACTTCTTGTATCTACAATGATGACGAAGCATTGTAAAGTTTCATACCGACTTCAAAAGAGAAGTATATTCAGTAACGGAGTAAGTCATTTTGATTGGACACTAGTAACTAGTGTGACATGTCTAGTCCTTTCTTTGGTGCAGACTGAATTCTATCAGTCAGGTATTTGCAATGTGGCCACCATTCTAGGTAGCTCACCATCATGGTGCACATTGATTTGATGATATTAGACAGTTGAAGGCAATCAACAGGAAGCCTTGCCTATACCTAGGTTTCGTGCTAGTTGGTACTCGTCAGCTAACTGCAACTATCTAATGTCATCAAAAGAGTAAGTCATTATTATTCTCTTTCCTTTTCCTTCATTTCTACTAGAATAAAAGGCCTGAATCTTGTGAAGTCTCAGCAACAGTGGTGTTACCTTTACAGGATGGGGTCAGTGGCCTCAAGCCTAAGTGTTTTCTCTATCCCAGGATTCATATCGGCTGATAAACTAAGCTAGACTAAAGACTGAGTTGATCTGGAATCGAACTTGGATCTATCATAAAGTTGACAAGTACTACTGATTATATGAAAGAGTATGTAAAATGACCTGTTTTCTTTTTATGTTGTTATCATATCAACAATGACCACAATACCTACTGAAGTGTAAAATGCACTTATTTCCATAATAATAATGATTTACTTTATTCCGAAAGCAGTACTTGTGATACAGAATGGAATTTTCAGCATTAATCACAGTAATATTGCATCTAATTTCCTCAAATTATAAATAAAATTAATCACACAGAAAATTCTTCCACATTTACAATAAGGGTAATGTCAAAAAGCATGCAGCATATAAAGTGGAAATAATAATAATGATAACAGCTAAGGTAATAATAATAATACAAGTGAAAATTGCCGTGGGCTTGTTTCACACAGTATTGTCGATGTGGTATACAAATCCTTGCATGATTAAAAATATTGAATATAATGTTCTCTTTACATGATATGGTGAGGGGAAAAACAATGATTACAGCAGTCATAGAGATAAGTTAGTGTTTGCAATTACGAAAGCAAAACAAAGAATCAACAGGACCATAAACATAATAGAAATAATAAAAGTAAAACTTGAAGGTATATAAGGATAGATGGAGGAAATTGTTTATTTACTAGATGAAGAAAGGTTAGTCACTTCTTGCCAGACACTATTTTCATCACATAAAATACGTGCCAAGTATGGTATCATAGAATTTGTATTCTTAGACGTGCGAGCATACAATTTTCTGAAGTTACTTCTTGTTCTACCTGAGAAGATGCAAGGTGAAAGCTGAGGGTAAAGTGGATGCTCCAAGTCAGACAAAATCCCTTTAGCAAATTTACTGCACGAAGTCAAGTGCCTATCAACAACGAAGTTAACTATGTGGTCCACTGGGACACCACTCGTCCTACTTACAGCCTTCAGCATTCTACGAATTGTGACATAGTCATTTTTAAGCAAACCGGGAAAGAATAAGGGAGAACAATAAAGAAGAATAGATAGGATGTAAGGGTTTATGAACTGTAAGAGGAGGAGTTGAGTTATACCCGAGTGCCTTAGTTTCTTAATGTAAAGTGTCAGGCGGAATATTTTGCTGGAGATGGCTGAGACATGGGAAGACCAGGAGAGATCAGAAGAGAGAATAAGTCCAAGATACTTAATTCCTATATCATTGTCGTCAATCTTACAACTGCCATGAGAATCGACGGCTTCTTTTAGCTGTCTTTTACATCTTGAGCTGAAATTAACAGTTTGACATTTAGAAGGACCATTAAACTCAGATCATTTACTGGTAACCGACAGAAAGCTATTTATTCATACACTGCGTCGTTTCAAGTCTATAGGAAAAACATATTGAAACCAAGGTTTATTCCTTATTTATCATGCTGACTAGTGCTAAAAGTCTAATATCTGAATTTCATGATATCCACAGCTTCGCATGTTCTCAAAGTCTATGAAAGAAAACAGAATTTATGAAATGGAAACAATCAGCAGTTCTTTAATACACTGTTAAATGTTATACACTTCATCAGATGTGTCGTCTATAGGTATGTGGCTTTCTCCTTGAAAACAAAGTCAACGCTATCCTCCGTTGACTTATAAGTTTGCTAGATGAGCGCATTTAATGCAAAGGATATATCTTCTGCTAACAGTTATTGGTGACGAAGCTCTAACTAACAGTGTAAGTCGTAACAGAATTGGTTACAATTAAACCGGCCGTGTAAATGACTAAATTTCTGAAATCAAAAGTATAAACTAATCTTTCTTCATATCCTCTCTATTTGTGGTGAATTCAACACAGTTACATTGTGGGTTACATATTACTTCCGACTTCATATTACCAGTTTACATGTACGTAGCAAAGCGTATACGTCAGATGAAGAGAAAGAAGGATTTGTGATCGCATATCTGACAATATTCCAAGAAACTTGCATATGAATGGTACAAAACCGGTTAGGAGTGCGGTCGCTCAACACCCGTTAGACAGCAGCTAAGAAATCGATGCACTAAAATCTTTTAAAATATGGACAGTTCAAAACAGCTCCAGCATGCAACAAATCACCAAAAACGGTTGAAACAGAATTTATGCATTCAGATGCAGACCGTTGGTAATCTCCCCTTATCTTGGTAGATTTACTTTACGTTATTTAATTGTTATTTTTTTAAATGTTATGGTTTTAATTATACTTTTTTTAACAGAGCAATTTCATACCTAAATTTCATCTTTATCTATGACCAGACACCATTTTGGCCTCTGTTTAACTAAGTTATTTGACCCCTATATAGGGGTGTATTCTTGAACTTACATCTCTGTCCGATTCAGATTATTCGTTCGTAATTCTAGAATATTTATTAGTTATTTCTACACATATTACTAAAGAGCATAACAACTGCTTTTATTTCTTTCTACTATACCATTTAATCATGTGATTGTGATATCCATCACCTTTATGATAAATAAAGGTGAGGTTCCGAGTGGAAAAAGCGACTTCAGCAACATATCTCCACTTTCTTCTATTTTCTGCTCTACTCTTCAGCTGAGCCCACGATTGCACATAGTCTCTCATCTTCTCCTCGCATGATCTCCTTCATATCATCCTTGGATGGCTCAATTGTCATTTTCCATCCGGACTCCACTTGAGCTATGGCTTGGGGCAAGATGTCATTCGATGGTCACCTCAGGGTTTGACCAATCTATCTCCATTTTCGCATGCATATTTGTTGAACAATAAGTTATTGGTTGGTTTGTTCCTAGAGTTTCTTGTTACTAATGCTTTCTGGATGGTTATTTGATCGTCAGTATAGAGCCAGCGGAGGCACTTGCCGTAAATGCTTTTCGTGTCGCGCGTGTTAAGTTTCTGACCCACCCTTATAGAGGAACTGACTGACTTAATATTTCTGTTGAAAATCCGAATCTTGTTCTGTTTGCAGCAGAGTGCAAAAGATTTCCAGACCGATTTGAGAGTGTTGAAGGCATATCATGCCTTTCTGTTCCTGACTTTGAAATCTTCATCCATTCAGCCTGTGATAATAGGTGGACTTGTCTTACTCCTGTCTTCCCTTCAAAGCCTTCGCTGAGT